GCGGCCCGTCCTTGCCCGTCGCCTTGGCCTCCTGGCGCATCGCCTCCAGCGCGAAATGCACATTCGCATACTCGACCATCGGCGTCTCCTCGGCCGTATACTCGCTCTGGCAGCCGCCCGCGCCGTAGCCACGGGCCCCCTCGCCGTTCAGACCCGCCGGTCCCAGTCCATCTATCGTCGATATCGTATCGCCGGCGCTGACCTCGAGCGTGCAGCCGTGCCAGGTGTAGATCGCCGCTTTCGTCCCGGAGAAGGTATACGTCTGCGATGCAGCAAGTTCTGTGCCGAAAAGCTCTGCGGTGCCGGCCAATAGCTACAGCAAGTAAGTTAAACGTTGTATTAGCCATTGCAGTGCGTCATCGAGAAATGACAGCTATCAAGCCCCTGTCATCTCTATTACCGACCTTGACTCGTATCGCTGTTCCAAATGCAACCTCAAATCTCCATTCTGAGCCCTTGGACAAGGTAATCTGTGTTGGCGGTGCGGGGACAAACTCCCTCTCCGATGAGGTCTGCGAGAGCTCTAAACCGGGGAGCGACATTGCATCGCTGTACTGCAGAAATAAGTAGGCGGGTACTCAGTTTTCACAAACTCGACGCAAATATTTGTCTTTGTTTCTATGACCGAATGCGAAGCTCAAGGGTCAAGAAGTGGTGCTGGAGCTTCCAGATTGCGGTGATGTTTTGAATGTTTGCAATGCGGATCATTTGATTGCTACCAGAATACGGAGTAAATAAAGACATTTGATTCAACACATCCAAGTGCTCACAAAAAAGTATGGCACCGCTATCTTTCTATATGCGTTCGCACACTACGACTAACCTACAGTGCCTTAGAAGACTGCCCGAGTCAATCATTCATATCATACTGCATGCATTGCTTCTCTAGTGTCCAACAGTGAGGAGGGTCAAGGGGTCTTCGAAGAAGTAACGGAGACGGGGTGCCATAGATCAGGTATCCAGAAACCAAGTGAAGAACAAGGGGAGAGAAACGTAGAAAAGAAGGAATAGAGATGCAAAGCTCCTCGCCTTCAATGTCCCAACCAAACACCATTGGCCGAGTAAAGCTGCAGATACCCGCAAGACCTATGGACAGGAATATTTCCCTTTGCATCAAAAGGGCAATTATTAGAAAAACCGATAGAATATCAATACAGTACATCAAGAATCACCGGGATGAGATATAGAAATGGCAATGGGAAGGGTTTCATTGGAGGAAAAGGCAGGGGAAGGCCAGAAGGGAAATTTCACAGAGGAACAGGCATATGAGGGGAGGAGATTCGGTATGAAGGATTAGACGCTTCCCTTCAGTCTGGAGCATCATCAGACAATCCTTCTACCAAGGTAGAGAGCGGTGACGGGTGGGGATGGCGTTGGACAATTTCCGGAACAATTGAACTCGATACAGCATGATTCATACGGGTAATCATACTCTGCTCCTGGCCCTCGAAGACCAGGGAAGAGCCGGGTTGGATTTCCTAGAAGAAATAGGGAATGGAAGCCCTGGTGTATATCGTTAGGACAGAATCTTACACCAGTGGGTTTCAGACACTTACGCAAGTGCAAAGACAGCCGTAACACCGACCAAGGCACGGTTCCTCACACGCTCCCGCTTCAGCTTCTCTTCCAGGACCTTTGCCCTCTTGGCGCGCAGGGCCGAGGCCGCTCTGGTCTCATCATCCTCCTCATCTTCACTGAGCATGTCGGTCTTGCGCTTTTTGGCGCCCTTGGGTGACGAGGCTTCCGGCCGATCACCTTCGGTGGTTCGGACCTTGATCGCTTCTTCGACCATTTCCTTGGCCTTGGCGATCATCTTCTCGGTGTCGTCTGCAGAAGGTGCCTCCGGAAGGCTAACAGGCATCTCGACCGAGATCGTCGTCTGGGTGGTTCTAACGTCATCCACCGTGTCGGCAGTCGTCTTGACGTCAACCTTGACTTTTTCTTCTTCGACCTCATCCTCCTCAGGAATGGCGGCGACCCTCTTCCTGGAAGTCGGCTTGGTTGTGTCCCCTGTGACGGTGACCACTTTCTCTTCGACATATTCTTCCACACTAGGCTCGATAGTTTCGTTGGCTGATCCAGCATCAGCGTTAGACGCGGTCATGTCCAAAGCGTTCTGAAGACTAGCGCTAGCTGCACTGGCCTCCTCCACACTCGCCTCCTTGGCTGCGCGAGTCTTCCTCGGTTTGCGAGGGGAGATGGTGGCTCTCTTACTGGGCGAAGCAGACCGTCCCCTTCTCGTACGCTGCGATGGGGCAGAGAGCTGGGTCGGGGCTTCAATGGGCGGGAGTTCAAACTTCGGAGGAGGTGTGATCTGCTTCTTTGGGGTTTGAGGGATCTCTGTGGGATCCAGCAGAGCGCGGACCCAATCGTACATCTGATATTCCTTGGCCAACTCCAACGCTATTGACCATCAGAGGAAATTCATTTAGGGGTGCTGGTGATCTCCAGGCGTGCTTACCTAGTAAGGGGCTGACCCAGATATTGCCGGCGATCTCATCCTCGCTGGTGCCCTCTCGAGTCTTCAAGTATTCCCGTTCAGCCTTCTCTTCCTCCAACTTCGCCCATGGGAAAGCGATCTTGAACATTCCAGTGGCGCTGACATATCCATCCTTGCTTCGTCGCTGATTGAATGAAAGCGATCAGAATCGGCCACTGTGACCATCAACAAAAGGCGAAGCGGTTTCACTCACCATGAGAAAGTAGGTCTCCGGGTGCTGCTGAGGGGCATGCGACGCGAAAATCTCGGAGCCTTTCAGGTCTTTTGGCAGCTTCGCGCGCAGATGGGCATATTCGAAGGGGCCCAGATTCTCAGGCTTGGTTGCGTTGGACGTTCCAATCTGCGTAGGCTTGACAGCGAGGTTTGTTTTTCCTAGACGGCGGAGCGCCAGGAGTTCCTCATCTGTCCTCCCTCCGGAAGGAACGGGTTAGCCCTGCGCAATGCTCATGTCGTACGGCGTCTCCTGGTCGAAGCATCGGGAGCGATTTTGGAGCCGAGGATGCGAAAATAAATGGTGAAGCTTCAACTTACACGAAGGGGATTGGTCCGGAAGGACGAACGGGTTGTTCCTCTTTGGCAGAGATCGCACCATGATGTATGGCTAATATGAGTCTAGATGGCAAATTGAAGGATGTGACTGCGCCTGAGAATTATGGACGTAATTTTCCAGATGGTAGATAGATAAACTCTTGCGCGCAGGGAAGGATTGCGAGATGCGACGCCAAAGCGGCGGCCACGTTGCAGGCGCGTCTGCGGTTGCTCTCCGAAGAGGTTCACTCCTGAGGATATAGACGTCACCACAGAAGGGTGCGCACACACAAGTGAGAGGTGTGATGGCACCACACGCAGATGATTTTATGGGTTGATTTTGGGTGGATGATAAACTCTCTCGCGCGGGGGGAGGGTACACAGACAGATCCGCGACGAGCCAGGAGATAAGTTCAATTCGCGATGAAAAATACGGCCTGAAAGTTGATAAAAGATAAAAAGGTATGAGCAAAGCAGGGGGGACGCAAAATAAGAAGACGGCGTTTTGCTGGGCTTGGGCTCCTTACGCTGTCCTTACCGTATTGTTGATTCAACAGTATCACATCACTCTTGGCAATTAGATATTGGCCAATTAGAACGGGGTAGTAATCACATGAGCTGCCAAAAGCGGAAAGATGGTAGTGCTCTCGGTACATCCCCCGGTATTCGATTACGAGTATGTGACAGGTGGTGGACTGCTACGGTATCAATGCCTTGGTGCCTCATACTGAGAAGGAGCTTCTGCTGCTTCTTCCATGGTTGATGCATCCTCGTTCGCGTCATGGTGACCCCTTTCCCAACTCCCAAGCTGAGGAGCTCTTCTCGCGTCAAAAGGCTGTTGATGGACTGTCCAGATGATTTTCAACCCATCAACGACGCGTTTATCCAATTGATTGGAACAGCCCTGCACTCCCTCGAGGTATCTGTACTAATGGCAAATTGCTAACATCCGTGGAAATATCCTTATGTCTCGGATGCACCAATGTGTCTCAAGTCTACTCTTTGAACGACCACCACCTAGTTGAACGCTCGAGTCAAGCGAGTCAACCCAGGCCTTGAAGTCGAGAAGGACCCAAGAGGAAAGGCACTTGCTCCCGAGACGAAGCGAAGGAAGCGATCCACCAAGACACACCGCTTCATTGTTATTTAAGCCTTGAGGCTTGAACGCAACATAACCAGAGTGTCATCGGTGATATAGTTTCATTGATCCAAGGTCAGGATCCATTTCTTCCCCTGGCTAGAAGCTGTAGTGTCTTCTAGGTAGTCATTGCAGTCCACCATACTGCAAGGTCTATCGAATGGTTCGCATATACAATCCACGAAGCCAAGATCAGCCCACACCTTTATCCCAGTCCCTTAGTGGGTGCATCTCTCTGCTCCGTAGGCTATGTAGCTTCATTTTGCGCGAGGACCCCACTGGGCCAGATTGCTACCATTGAACTGCAGCGGCCAGCAAGAGTAAGTCCCAAGAGGCATATAGAAGCTGAACGATCATTATGATCGCATATCAATCCCTATCACAATGGCACAAACATGGTTTCAGAGATTATATACCTTACTTGGGTCATCTCACAAGCCCACCTGTCTGTCTATCCCTGAGTGATAATTATGATCTTTTACTAAATTCTAGACCTTGTCCTCACCGCCCTTCTCATGATCTCGAAGCAATTGGTATCTCTGCCTATGCCCCCCCCCACCAGAGCGTATCAGACTAACGAAGCGATCCCCGCCAGTCCTTTGGCCAGAATAACTACTAATCTCGAGTCCTCCGTACACTCTTGGGTTTCTTTCTTGCATTCTTTTAGATTTGTATCTCTTTTGCTCAGACCTCTGTCCGATATACCTCCCCCAGCAATTGCATATATATAGATACCCTCCCGCTCTTATCCGCGGCCCCCTCTCTAGTGCCACCATCCTTGGTTCAGGTACCCCGCCAAAAGAAGCCCGTCAACAAACAACAGCTACACTCACAATGACTGAACACGACGATGATCTCGTTGCCTCGAAGACCGAGGGCTTCAAGGTAGGCGAAAAGAAGACAATTGAAGAATACACGAAACTCGGTATGTCGAGGCTCTATACACTACCTTGTAATGCCAGTCATTCCGGCAATTCTTCCCTCCATTCGGGGTTACCAGTCAGCCCCTTACCGCAAGCCCCGCCTCTATCTCAAGACCCTAAAACTGCAAGCTGATTACTGATATTCCACACCCGGCCAGACCAGAATGACGAGTCCCTGAACCGCTGGAAAGCCTCCCTCGGCCTCAACACCGGCAACCCGATCGGAAATCCCAACGACCCTAGAAAATGCATCATCAGGTCCCTGGCCTTGGAGGTCGAGGGCCGTCCCGACGTGGTGATTGAGCTGTCCGCACCCGGCGCCCTCGAGGCGCTCAAGGACAAGCCATTTACGATCAAGGAGGGAGCGACCTTCCGCATCAAGTGCAAGTTCGAGGTGCACCACGAGGTCCTGAGCGGTCTCAAGTATCTGCAGGTGGTGAAGCGCAAGGGAATCAGAGTCAGCAAGGACGAGGAGATGCTGGTGAGTAATATTGATTTAGGAAGCGTGACTTGCCTTGTGCGTCGTTTAACCTAGCGTCGCAGGGAAGCTATGCCCCGAGCACCACGGACAAGCCAATTTACGAGAAGAAGTGTAAGTCACTCTATCCCGAAGTGCATTTAAGACTTGGTGCTCATTGAATACAGTCAACCCCGAAGAAGCTCCCTCGGGAATGCTCGCCAGAGGACACTACAACGCTGTCTCCAAGTTCGTCGATGACGACAACCAGACCCATCTCCAGTTCGAATGGTCGTTCGACATTGCAAAGGATTGGTAGGCTCCTTTTTGACGGTATCGGATTATATAATATCTCGTCTTTGAATATACCATTATCAGCATATTTGGAAAATTTACATGCGTTGGACGAATCTCCTTGTCAAAAACTTCTGGACATTCAAATCTACGACAGGAATTGCGTTTTTGTCAGAACGACAAAAGTCTTATATAACCAATTGAAAAAGAACCCTACGTGACAAATGATTCTACATTTGGTATATGCCTCATTTTAAACATCTTGTTACGTCATATCAATGCCATCTATAAATGCTCTTTCGGTGCCAGACTCCAAGCTTTGCATCGGGAAGCACTGCATGCAAAAGAAAAAACTAATACAGAAATAAAAGGGTATCACAAAAAGTAATCAATCACAGGATTCTGGCCGTCCTTGTTCTGTTGCGCTTGTTGTTCTCCGCGGTGGATTTCGTTCTCCGGCGCGGCATCGAAGATGTTGAAGTATCTCTCCCCCGTGTCACTTACTTCAAGAACACTGGCGAGGTTCCCGCATCGGTAGCAATAGTTGGGCGCACTCCACACCGTACTCAGACGGTCGTCATAGAGAACCTGATACCCTTCCTGGCACAGCTGATGCGCTCGCAAAATATGCGACATGCTATTCACCTCGAGGAATTTTCGAACGACCTGGGCACCGAATGTGTAGCCGGCTCCTCTCGGTGATAGCGAGAACTCGTCGCGTTCGGTGTCGGGGTCGGACCAGACCAGATCGGCCATGGGACCCTCGTGAGGGATCTCACGAAATCGATCGATAATCTTGATCTGGTCTATCGAGTGGATCGAGGGGGAAAGGCCACCGTGCACGCAGAAGATCTGATCGTTGATAACCACGCTCAGGGTGAGAAAGTCAAACATGTCGGTGAAGTAGTGCCACACGTTGGCGTTGCCGTATTTCCGCGCGCACTCCGTATAGAAGCCGTAGGACTGGGTGACACCGCGCGATTCGTGGTTACCACGAATGAGATGAACGCGTTGGGGGTATCGTAGCTTCAGGCAAACGAGAAGGGATATCGTCTCGACGCTGAACAGACCGCGATCCACGTAGTCGCCTACACAACGGAACCATCAGCACTGCATCTCCTCAAAACGCAACAACCGCTGAAACTAACCCAGAAACAAATAATTCGTATTAGGACAAAACCCCCCGATCTTGAAGATCTCGATCATGTCGAAGAACTGCCCGTGGATATCTCCGACAACAGTAACCGGAGCTCTGATATGCACCACATTGCTCTCCTTCATTAGCAGCTCTTTAGCCTTGGCGCATATTGCTTCAATCACGGTCTCCGCCAACAACTCTTTCCTATAGAGCCGCTCGATGCACTCGTCCAGGTCGATGCTAGCTGCCAAACGATAAGCTTCTTGCAGGAGGGTGAAAGCGAGGCGCACGAGGTCAAACCTACCCGGTAACCCTGGCATTGCGGCTGAATTGGCTTTCGAGCGAGTCCCCCAAGGATCGCTCTCCGAGACAAGTAGTGATACAGAAGAGAACGATAAGGAATGGACACGTGCCAAACTTTTCAGATAAGGTTCGAAATATTCACAACCAGCGAGAGAAAGACGAACAAATGAGAGAGAAGACACTATGAGTGCGGACTCGAAAAGGGGGTCGTCTGAAGTGTTCTTGCAACCGCTGGCATCATGGCCGACAGACCAAGAGAGCGTGTGCGGCACTGACTGGACCCGCGATGACGGGGAGTAGGGGGTTCAGTAGGTTATATGGAAGCACTCCTCCTGGGTTTCCATCGATCACTTGGCGTCAATCTAGTTAGGTCCTCGCTGAAGAGATCTAAGCACGTATAGCACCGTTACTAATCATCAATCATCCGCAGCTGCTCCAGAGCCATCAACCGTCAACGCACGGAGTCAATATCCATTCTGCCCCAGGATACCGCCTGCTTCGTCGTATCAAAGCTAAAGGCAGCCCTATGTCCCAGGGAAGCTTAGTCTGCCACGTGAGATCCTTGTGCCTTACTGCCTTGCCCTGACTCGGTGCAACCAACAACTGAGGATCCATGCTCACAGCGCACGTAGGGCACCATCGAAGTGGTATATTTTATTCTAACCAATCATCTGATTGTATGTCAGAGTACGGTATCGTGCCATATATACATCTACTTCATCAATCGAAAATCTCCAAGAGGCTACTCCAAAGCCAATGACATGCCAAATATGGGCAACACACTAGAAGCCGCGTGATCCAGGAGCCCCGGGCTCATCATGCGACAAAAGCTGTTGGGCTTCCTGCTGATCATCTGAAGCGCTTTCTTCGTCTTCTTCGTCTCCCTCATCTTCTTCATCCTCCTCCTCTTCCTCGTCTTCCTCTTCGTCATCATCATCCGTCTCTTCTTCGGTCTCTTCTTCCTCAGAGTCCGTCACTTCTTCTCCGGACTCTGTCTCCTCTTCCTCCGTCTCTGACTCCTCCTCTAGCCACTGATCAAGCGTTTTAGTCTTTGCCGCGGAAGCACCTGCTCTCGCGTGGCCGTTTTGTTGCCGTTTCATGGCTGCAACACTGCTCTCGTGTTCCATCAGAGCCCGGTCAAGCTTTTCACCTGCCGTCATAGTCGCTCTTTCGGTCAGGTCCGGCTTCGTCTCTGATTCTCGGAGGCTGGAGTCCGGCTCTTGTCCCAGCTCAACCCAGTCAGGAAGATCGTGGTAGCCACTCAGTCCAAAAGGACCTGCGTCTGGCCCCACGATAAGAGTGGATGAGCCCAGAAGTAAATCCTTCCGCGTTTCCGATGGGCTTGGGGCATGTGGAACAGGCTTAGGTGCTAGCAGGATGAGATTCGCGAGCTCGGTGGAAGAGGGGTTGGCCAAGAGAGCTTTTAACATTCGGGCCCGGTCACGAAGGTCGTAGGAGGAATCGTATCGAGCAAGGAGGAGAATATATCGCCAAAGGAGAGTAATTTGGTCCTCTTTCGGTTCTTCTTTTCGCTGGTCTTCTTCATTGCCCTCGTTGACTTCTGGTTCCTTAGCGGCATCATCCGCCCACTCATTATGTTCCCGGTTTGTTTTGGGTTCCGATACCGACGGGTCCTCTGCAGGCTGCTTTGGAGGATTTCGTAGCAGGTGGTGGAGGTATACCTTGGCACCTAACAGAACAATCTGCTGTTTCACAGGCTCTGGCTCATCGGCGAATTTTTGTACCAAAATTCGCAGAACATCTGGTGCAATATTCCTCTTGGGATCTACTCCCGCGAATTCTCCAACCAGCCATATTATGGTCGCTCTGGCTTCTGGGCTACTGGACGAACCAAGATGCTTCACAAGCTGGAGAACTGTTCGTTCATGAGAAGCCGGGTCTTGTTGAATCAGATGCCTAATCACGGTCAAAGTCTCTGATACTAGAGTCTCATCAAGGCTGGTTATCTGACGGAGTAGAACAACCAAGCAATATTTCGCAGTACTGGGGTCATTCTGCGCGCAACGCCCAAGGGCGCGAACACTCTCACGGACAAGATCTTCATCCGCACCATTTGAGAAATGTTCCAGCTCGTTAATGATCACACCCTTGATATGCGAACCACAATGTGGAAAAAGAATTGTAAGGACTTCGAGCTTCAGGCGCCATATGTGAGGCGGATCCGAAGCATGCACGAAGAAGTGAGACACGTACTTGGTGAACGACTTTGGGTGTTTCAAGGAGACGACAACAATATTATAAAGTGCAATGTGTTGTATATCCTGGGGGCTTCGAAGGAGAGCAACCAAAGGACCGACAGCAGCAGCAAGATACTCGGGTGGCGCAAGATATAAGAAGCAACGGACAACGCTGACGATAACGGCGGAATTGCGGTTATGTAAAAGCAACCTGCAAGACCGGAATAGAAGCTCCAAATCGGGGTCTATCACGGGCATCTCGTATTCCTCGCCATCTCCCTGAGTTTCACCACCTTGTTCGTCGTCGTAGAATCCTCTGGAGACTGCGCTCTTCATCTTCTGAGTCTTCCGGGGAAAGCATTTTCGCGCGTAAAACGTCAAAAGACGCAAAGTCGCAAGCTGGCCCCATTCGTCCATATCCACAAGCTTCTTGACCAAGCTCCGATAGTGCTTATGAATGAGATCAATCCGATCGGGACAAATCTCGAGAAATGCGGCCACAGCGGGCCCAGCAACAAAGTACTGAGTGTCACCTAGTAAAGTAGACAAATAGCCGACCAGCTGGGGTAACGTATTTGGGTCAAGGCGATAACATTTCGGTATGGCTAATGCGGCAGCTTTACGGACATGAGGGCTCATGTCACCACAACCTCGTTTGATCGCAAGCGAGACGATCTGGCTGATGACCGGCACTCTGATCCCAGACATTGTACGCAAAGCCATCGCTCGCACTTGAGGATTTTGATCTGTAAGCGATTTTTGGATCGTGTTGATTGACAGAAGCGCAAGGTCTGGCTCGGTCTCCGCATGATGAACCAGGTATATGTAGACCAGTTTCTTCACTTCGATATTCGTGTTTGCGACGTTCTTGACGACATACGAGAAGAAAGGAAGGGAAGGCTCGGACGAATACATTAACTAGTAGAGTCACGCAGAGAGACACATAGTCAGCCCAAGTAACAGCTCGATTGGATTGACCAATACGTACAGCGATCACCTTTCGCATGCCATCCAGGACCTCACGGTCATTGCGACTCTCCAGGAGCTTCTTAATTTGAGAAGTACTGTGATTGCGCGACACCAAGCCTGTACTCGACCCTCTCGTTAAAGCGGCCGACTGAGCTGCCTCCATGGTTAGTTCTCGAGCTGTTCCAGACAACGATCAGTAATGGAGGCCGGGAAGATAACGTCGGCGAGAATGTTACCTGTTTCCAGCATTGACGAAATCCTGGAGATCGTCTCCATGTTGTAGATATCAAAATCCGCAGGGCCCTTGCGGGCGCACGCGGAATGATCAATTTAAGATTTCGATTCGTGAAGCTTGTGGATAGAGGGGAGGGGGAAGGTTTCATGAAGATCAGCGGAAGAAGTGCGGGTGACTTGGCTATCAACACCTTAGGCCTGCGGATGATGCAAGCGAGAGCTGCTCCCCGCCATCCAATATTATCTCAATTCTATCTCTATCACGAAGGCCGCACGATTGAAACAAAGAGCTATAATAGACATTGCTGGATAGGACTTGTTACTAGGGGTTCCTGACAATGTTTGTCTTAATACTTGTGACTGCTTGATTACCTTGTGCGTCGCGATGAAGACAAGTCGTCGCATATATTTCTGTGATCGAGTGACGGATTTCCTGCAACATCTTCTCAACAATGTTGCTAATACTACCGTGCTAGTCATATGCTCAACGAGAGAAACTTTTCTAGAACAACTCCACGATGATGTCTCGAGTCATGCTCGAGACACAGCCGAGAAACCCGCGCTGCTTACAACATCTCTCGGGATGCTCTCCAGATCAAGCGGGATCCAACTTGCTTTCTGCCCGACTCTGGAGCATTTCCGTGCCTTTATCTCCGTGTTATCCTCTCCCGCTCGCTTAGACGAGACATCAACCAGTGACCGTCACAATGGTAAGCGGCCTCTAATGGCCGTGCTGAATCCTATAGCACTGCATCTCCCAAGTTCGGAGTTTTCCGCCCAGGGATTATCGCGGACGCTCGCAACTGCAGTGGAAATGTGCAACAAAGAAGCCATGGACTTGGTCCTCTGTGAATGTGGAGGTGTCCCAGAGTCTGTTGACATCGAGTGCGGTGAGGCTTTGTGGTATGTAGAAGTACCGTTACTCAATGGCGCTACTCGAAGGGGAGAAGGCGAAGGTATCTGGAGTGGTCGAAGCGTGCCTGTGAGACGAATCGTACAGCGATGGTTCGACTTCGATGACAGCAATCGCACGATCGCAGAATTTCTGGATATCTAGACAACCGAAAAATACAACGACCATATAAACGAGCTGAAAAAACAAAACTCCAATAAGAACGTATGGACCTCGATCCCAAAGTATAAGCCTCAACCCACGGGGTATCCTAGAACCAAGCCTTAACTCCTGTACCATAAACCCCAGACCTTGCGACTCAAAGACACTTCTCCATTTCGGTAATGTACAGCTTGATATGCGATTCCAGCTTCAAGTATTCCTCATGGGCACTTTGGATCTCGTTTTCAATATTTTCCTTAAGGTCGGCCATCTAGACGACAATTAGCATAAGAGAACTGCATGCTGCCAGGCACGGAGTCTTACCTTTTTCTCGGTCTGCTCAATCCTAATTCGTCGTCTCTCCATATCACGCTGCTTCTCTGCTCGCTCTTCACGAAGCTTCTTCTGGACATCGCGAAGCTCATCCATCCGCGCTTGAGCTACCTCTGCCTTTTCTTGGGCATTCTTTCGGAGGGCTTCAATCCTTTCGTTCCACCGCGCGAGCTGCCGCTGCAGCAGTTTCTCGGTCTGCTCCACTTCTCTGACGTTGTTCCCCCTCTCGGAAATAGCTTCTTTGTTCCTCGACGCTCGCGATTCTTCCTCTTCCTCCTTTTGTAGTTCAACAGATATATCTTCGAGCAGCTTGATGCAAGCCTGGACGTCATTTCCAACGACGGTAAATGTGTCTGAAGAGGTCTGCAGTGCTCTTGCTCTTTTCTCCATGGCATCGATTTGAGCCTTCTCTCGAAGCAGGTTTTCAGACAGCTCGGTCAAGGCAGACTGTAGCGACACCGGACTCTGCATCGCATAGGGTCGGAGCTTTTCGACTTCCTGTCTGGTGCGTACGCTTCTCTCTGTCTTCTCTTCCAATTGTGCCTGTCGTCGAGCTTTATCTGCCTTGACCCGCTCAAGGGTCTCAGCAACCCTTTCCTGATTTCGCCGCAATTCCAGAAGTCGCGCTTTCAGCTCGTCGTTTCTTCTGGCCTTTTCCTTAACCTGTGCTTCATTGGCTTTCAAACTCCGGCGCATCTCTTCAAGACGTTGCTCCATCTCTTGATTTTCCGTAAACAGTGTATCGATGCGTGCCTTTGTCTTTTCTGTTTTGTTGAAATGCTCATCAATGACTTGGGTCTGCGACTCCCGGAATCTGACAAAGTTGATGAGATAGGAGAATATTTTGACCAGTCGATCATGCGTAGGCTTGGTCAGATCCGTGAAAGTGAAGTCATTGACACCACACTATTTGACGGTAAGAAAATGAGTTAGTATCTCTGCCATGCGACCATTACACTCTCATTCGACATACCTCCATCATCAGCCTGCGTAGGCTGATGAAGAAACCCATGAGATTGCGAGTCTCTAATGGGACAATGTCGGGATAGTCGCCGCATATATCTTCTGCTGCGGCGCGCATTGCTGGCTCTACTGTCTCCTTGGTCGTATTCATGAGAAGTTCTGCGAACCATTCGAACACCATCTGGATCTGCTGAGGATTCGGCTTGATCAAGTCGGCAGCTGTAAAAGGAATCCCGATATCGTTGATGCAACCTGCGATTTCCTTATCAGGCTATAGCACAGTCAGCATCTTGTATGACCGACATAAGACTGGTCTATCCTAACCAGGCGCATCAACGCATCATTTTCATCTTCTTTCTTGCGACCCCGATTGTGATGTTGCTGGGTGCCATGAAACTGTTGGCTCATTCGATGATTATACGCCATTCTGTCATGAATCCCCTTAGAAATTCGGACACTCAAGCAAGCAGATTGGTCTGGACGGAACAGACGATGCGGTGAGTTGCTTGCCTGTCGGGCTTTAATGTTGTGATGACTGTTTACTGTAACGCACTCACATGGCAACCGGAAGCGGACTAGGGCCGGTTGTGAGGGGCATATTATGCAAACACTGCAAACACCCACTCCGCGTCTCTTTTGATGACTCTTTCCAGCTCAGTGGACTGTAGATTTCGTGAAAGACGCTGCGCAAATCGAGGACAGCTCTGTCTGTGCCGGATCAATATATATCGGCTGCCAGTAAAGGAAAGCGCTATGGCAAACAGCACATCAGCCATGACAGATCCATCGAAACCGTTCGAGTAAGCATCTTGCACAAGAGTCGAGATATTCCAATAATTGACCTGGCCGGCAGCATTGTCGTGACATACAATGAGTTATTACGCTCCGATCCAGACCTGACCATGCCCATCGCCGCTATTGAGGCTTTGGTTCTACTGCTCACTCACTCACCCTCGTCCACGATATCAGAGACTCTCGATCTTCTGGAGAAATCCACCGCACACTTGAAGAAGTCGATTCCTAACCCTATCGGTCTTTCGGCCGGAACCGATCTATTTCAGAGATATCTGATTACGACTCTACAAAGGCCTGGACAGCTGGGACCGGCGGGGGACTTCAACGCTATCAGGGCGCATCTATTGTCCAACGGTCGGTTATTCATTCGGCGAGCCAAGGAAAGTCGAGACAAGATTGCTGCGTTCGGTAGAGGGTTTATTCGGGACGGATGTACGGTTCTTACAAACGGTGGATCGAGAGTCGTCGCTTCTTTGTTGCAGAAGGCAGCCGACGAGAAGGGTGGGCCCTCTGCTGTCCGTTTCCGAGTCATCTACGTCCTTTCGTCGGCCAATGGCGATGTTGAGAACACTCGTGCCGAGCCAGAGGGTATGGAGACAGTACGCACGCTCAGGGCGAAGGGTGTACCTGTGGCCACAATTTCTGAGTCGGCAGTGGCATACTCTCTTGGCAAAGCCGACATGGTGATTGTAGGTGCCGAAGGTGTGGTCGAGAACGGGGGGATTGTCTCGCGGATGGGAACATATCAGATTGGTCTTCTTGCAAAGGCAATGGGAAAACCCTTCTACGTGGTTGCCGAGAGCCACAAGTTTGTCCGATCTTACCCTCTTGGACAGTATGACCTTCCAATCGAGCAACATGTTATCAACTTCAAGACGGAGGAAGATATCGCAGACGAAGCCAAGCAACAGTCGGCCGAATCACAAAAGACAACAGAAGTTGACTCTCTGGAGGCGAGTCCGGGCTCGAAAGGCGGAGGCCGTTCTGATGTGGTCGACTTCACACCGCCGCATCTGATTTCCGCCTTGATCACGGATAGCGGCGTGTTAACGCCGAGCGCGGTCAGCGAAGAACTGATCAAGATATGGTTTTAATTTTGTTTCGTTCTATTACCCATCTTGGAAATGATGATCGTTAGAGGCGCGAGGCGTTTATGCGGCTGGGACGAAAAGTATTTGCAGCGTACAAATCTTCTCAATAGAACTCAACTGATCCGCTAGAAAGACCACATGGAATTATTCTGCGCTGATTTTGGCATGTCCCTTGTACGCTGGTCCGCGGTAATTTGGCCTGTATGTAAGGCATCAGCGCATGACCCCTATGTTGCCTGCGTGGATCAAGCCGTGAAGGTTGACCGACTAAGGTACGGAGCAAGCGGTAATCACTATAATTTATCAACCAGACCCCATACCATTCATTGCTCTCAGGACCTTCTATGCCAATACAACGCAGCTGGCTATGCTTTGGAAGACCGGACAGAAGAGCAATTATAACAAAAAGCCATGAATGGGATTTTTGCAAAGTTTTCTCGAGTTCCGAAACATGAGATCTCATATCAGCCATACTACCTGTTATGAACCGTCGTATTCCATCGCAACAGACTCAGCGAACCCCATCTGCCTTAGAAACAAAGATGGCATCCCTACGGCACAACTGTCATCAGGGCCATCAAATTCTTTCGTAAGCTCATATAATCATCAAGTCGTATATACATATTCTCTTAAACGAGTGTCGAGCGAGTTGCGAGTCACCAACAACATCCTCTATCTACCACAAGTCCTCAACGGAGTGCTGTAGATGTGGATGCTCCTCGACGCCATTAGGATCTCTGTTCGATCTTACTTTGAACGACCGGCAGTGGCATGGTGCCAAGGGTATACCGCCTCGCATTTGCTCAGTTGGATGGCGAAGACTAGTAAAGAGGCTGCTTTTATAACCAGGGTTTGAAAGAGCGTTGCCAGAATTGGCCGTCATGTACTCTTATTCATTATACTTCGTGCGATTCGGCCGGAATCAGCCCACAATGCGGTTGAGCTGTGTCGTCTGTACGTGAAGCGCTTGTAGCGAGGCAAAGGCATAGAGTAGGAGGTAGCCGAACGCTACGAATAGCCACAGGAAAGCCATGGTTCAATGTAGGTTATGCAGCGTCAGACTGGAAATCAATGATAAGGCTTGTACATCGAGGTTAGGAGTTGGATCAGACATGGGTGGAATGGGGTTGTCTTTGCACTTATATGCGAGTCACGTACAACTTTCCCCAATTCGATCTCACTAGGAATTGTGACCCAAGGGAGCCAGTTGGTAGTACAGGCTGCGATCCGCTTTTTTCGGAACAAAAAGGAGATCCCTGCAGGATTTCGGAGTTGAATAACCAGGTGGGGTTATCGGGTCTTTGAGATCTTGTGAGAGCAATAATGACGGCTGGGTAACTACTGTGACTGGCCTTCTAGTGTAGAGTAGGGTATGCATCTAGTCGGGCTACAGTACCAACTGTCCACGGTACTTACAGGGTCGACTTTGCCCAATAGGAAAGATAAAGTCGACTAGGGTTATTCAGGCAAGGCAGATGATACAATTCAGAAAGTAAGAGGTATTTGGGTTTAAACGAACATGATGCAATGATCTGCCGCATAGTGGCGCATATGTGTTGTAGACATCTCAGCCTGAGCGAGTGTATCCTTACAGTCAAGCCTCCTCTGATATGCTCTATCTAGTCTCCAAGTCGAAGCCATGCATGATCCCATTGAGCGGTGTAAGTAGACGTCGACAAGAGTGATGCGGTGAAGTAATGAGTATGAGTTGATTGGAAGCAACAGCACCAAGGATGCATACTATCGTCTGTTATTGACTGGCTCTTGAGCCAGGTCACACTACTGATTGATTTTGCCTCCTCAACCCATATCAGATCGGGCTCATGCAGATAGTCAATCGCATTGACTGGCGGGGCTTTTGCCACCCAATCTGGCATTTTGTATAGTCAAACTGCCCTAAGTATTGCCGTGAGTAACCATCCTGGCAAATTGTCGAAGCTTAAGGCTTTGCGCTGTTTAGAGCGCAGAGGTCTGAAGACCTCGGGCCAATCTAAACAGTTTACTCAATCCCGAGTGTCTTCTGACGCCCAAGCCTTGATGAGTGTCACTTGATTATCCTTCTAGAAAGTAGAAACTGTGACAGAGGGTCTATTGCCCCGCTTAGTGGAGCGAGCACGTGCCCATCAGAGGCCTTTGTCGTGCCAGGGTGAAGCATTTTCATGTCTCTTATTGGTTGTGGTATGGATCTTGTCCCTCCATCACCCCTCCACACAGTCGCGAGTCGCAACTCACACGACTCCGATGTCCCGTCTCGACATGACGGGTCTGCTTCCTCGTCAGAAGCTAGAGCGAATCGTTCAGAGCTTGAAGTTGGACTCGAAGATCCTATCTTAACAGATTTTGGCTTACAGTTGGAGCCTCGAGCGCTTAGGTGATAGAATCAGCCTCATCAACTCACAAGGGCAGGGCGTCGGTGTGGTAAATATCTGTAACGAGAGTTTGAATGAAATCAATTAATCTGAGTGTCCTACTGGTGCTTAGCTTTCTCAATGTCGTCCGTGGACGCGTCATTTGCAGACGCTTGACTTAACTGTCGGCAATATAAGGTATTGTCGAGTAACACCTCGTTCTGTTATCTCAAGAGAACCAAAATAATCCCAACAGAGCTCACGCAGCTACAGACAAGCTCCGTCAGTCTGCAAGATCTCAAGCCGACGGTTTCAAGGATACTGAAGTCCGACCGTTCGCTCGGTGTACATCCTACGGAGCACCTTATTCCCTACCCTTGACCGCATGCCCACTAAGTGCAGCCGAGCTTTCCTGACAAACCATGAGCGCCGAGTCGTTGACAACACCGTTCCGACTCCCACAACAAGTGGACTATTCAGAAACAGAACGAAAACGAGAGTCCTCTTCCAAGTTTAATCCAACTGGCGGTCGAAGGTACCCCGAGGAACCCTGGTCGATTCGAAAACTTATCAGTCGCCACGTGAGCCGTCGGTATCGTGTCTTGGAACGTGAACCAAATCGACTTAGGAAGCGGGCCACCCAGTAGTGCATGCATCGATACTACGAGATCATAGCTGTCTACCTAGTGTTGTCATCTTGGTTGTATATTCTTGTCAATCGAAGCCCAAGTGGCTCCCGCTCATTGAGATCTTCTGAACGGCATTTGAAGTGCCACGTGCGGGGTTGTTGCTGGATTCATAATCCAATGTTGTCTCCTGCTGCCAGCGATGTATATGTACCTTATGTTTTGCTGCTAGAGTCATGGCTTAAGGTTGTCCTGCCCGGGAGGCTCACTTACTTCAAATATTTAGGTACACGCGTCAAGCTGGCCTTGTCGCTGAAGTCAGATCTTTATCCTGACACTTTGATTTCTGGCTCAATTCTTGATGGTATTTCAGATGATATCAGGAACCTACTCCGTACTGGTGCATGTATATAGACTCTGACAATGCATTCCTGCGTCCTGCATCCTGTTGTCAGTTTCCCGACTGTCCAGCATCTCTTTCACCAACGTAGACGTCTCTTGCGTTCCCCGATGCGGCGTGATTGGAAAGTTGCAGGACCGCCCGCACACCATTGGAGCACTTACCT